TAATCAATGTTTAACATTTTTTAGGGTTCCCAATAGAATTCTATTAAAACTTTCTCCGCCCAAAATGTACATATTTCTTCGTTATGGCAACCCATTAGCTTTGATTTGAGGGGTGTTTTACCCAGCATTGTTTTGTTTCGTATCCGGTTTCTATTTTAACACGGTAGCAAATGAGTTGTTGGAACCTCCCACAGAAAGATCAATAACAATTTTACTAACAGTGGCGAAACAGAGAAAGCCAAAATAAAATGAACGGGTTATATGAGAACTATCTTCGTTTTTGCTGTTCTTGAATTTATTGCACTATTTTTGAAATGGGACCAAAAGAGGCGCGTATTTCTCGAATTACACATTTTGTACCTGTACTAGTGAGATGAATATTGTAATCGGCGTAGGTGTTATACTAGGTGAAGTGGAATAAAGGAACTGAGAGAAGGTTATGGTTCTGCTGTGCTATCTGTAGACTCGTGTTTGACTTCATCAATCTCCTCAAAAACATGTGATGTATGCGAAACCTGTTTATGCGGTGTAGAGAATTGAAATCATAAAATAGATTGTCATTTGCCACTGTTGATTCGTCACGCGTTGGTTTTTGTACATGAAGTGTTTGACGTCTGATAGAACGTATGGGCTGAGTTTATGTTCTCACCACTTTCCAACGGACTCCGCAAAATGTTTATATCACAATCGTCGCGAAATTTCAAGCATCGGCTTTCAAATACAGCGGCGTGAACCAGATATACAGTTGTAAGCATTCCTTGAGCAACTGTAGTGTTCATTGGAAGTGCAGAACTATTAAATGTATGATCAGAAACTGAAGTAATGGAACTAGTATTCAAACGGACGAGTGGTTTTCCTGAGCGACACGTGATGACCCAGCAAAAATAAGTCGTGCATTCGCTTTGAGTCGTGAATGTTGCTTAATGAATATATTATAGATTTCGTGTCGCAGGGTAAGAGTTATACATATAATTCTCTTCGATGTGTCTCTGCTATGTGCTAATGGCAAGGATTTATTGGTCGGTTGTGTGAACCGGCATTATAAGCTCTGGAACTGGCGGTCCATATGAAGCCCCACTAGTACGACTAGTACGCCGGCCAAAACAGCCTTTTTCGATAAAATCTCAATTCTGTCCGTTTTACACAACAAATAAGTTTTTAGAGAAAAGACCATAAATTGCAAACTGGTTATTTCACGTGGTCGTCAGATAGCTAGCTTATCTTAAATTGAAACTGGCAACTGTTTGTTTGCTTATTTGAGGTTCCCTGCAACTGTGGAACGTGCTTATTCCGTTGAGTAAATGCTTTGAGGTGATGTAAATTCATTTTGAGAGATATCTTCAAATCTTAGGAAACCAACTAACCATATTTGGTGTATACCTTGCATCTTCATTGAGATTTCCTTTTTGGAAGACTAGATAAACATCTGAGTAGGTCGTCCCGAAAACCTCACTATGGTCGGGGCGAGTGTCTTGGATTGTTGTTGCTCACACTTCACTTTCACATCACAAAATGCTCCTGTACGACCAAGTGTCTCAACTGGCTTCTGCTGAGAAAGCTCACTCACCGCTTTCTCGCTGCGGCAAAAAGCCAATATTCGGGACTATAACCGGGCGAGTGAACCACTGGCAATTCACCTAGGGGAAAGTACTATCTTGTATTCAGAAGTGCTATTTTTACCTGTAAAAACGGTGGCGTTGGTTTCACATTTAATCCGTCAACTTTCTTGTATCTGCTGTCATAGTTTGCTCAGCCCCATCTATGTTTCTGAAACGTAGTGTTTGTACCGCACGCCCCTGTTTGTATGCTGGGGTTCTCTCAATCTGAAGCTTAGGCTTAGGGTATAAACTAGTAGTTAGTTAAATTCCGACGTTGAGAAATCACGTATTTTCTGTGAGTACTACTCGCAAGACACTGATTAGAAAATGGAGTAGTGGTGGTGCAGTGGTTTAGTCGCTATCACCGGCGTGCTCTGGATCCTGCGGTCCGAGGCTCGAGCTCTGCCACCGCCACTCAACTTTGGTGGTAGGCAGCTTTGCTGTTATCCGGTTCTATACCACGCTTGAGCTAGCGAGGCCTTATGTGGTTCTCCACTCCAAGCCCCGGGGCTTAGGTTGCCGGTTACCATCATTGAGCAGCAGGTCTTCGTGACTGTGAGGTCCGCTCCGACTACTGTTCATCACACACTGGTGTGCAATAAAAAATGGTTCCCGGTTTATGGTCTTGCAAAATATAGGAACAGGTTAACTTTGCCCATTGATTGGCGAACCGCATAGGTAACCGAAAGACACCAGTATAATCGGTGCATTAAGTTTCAGGACTCTTGGTTTTGTTTGGCACACAGTATGGATTTAGACGTGTATGAGATACAAGGACAAGTTGTATTAGTTTATCACAAGCCTAGTGATCGAGTTCCACGTAACTCAAGTGATCTTTTGAAGAAGGCGCCACACCATGTGCTCGTTTTGTTCACAGTGGTGTTTATGTATCTGTTTATCTAGGTAGCAACCTCAAACGCCCAAGTCGCCCATGGTTGTAGAAGCCTTTCTCGCTCCAAGGGATGCTCTTTTTAATCATCTATTGAGTCTGTTTTCTCATGGCCAAGAGCCAATATCCGGGGTCCTAGCTGAGTTCATAAGGAACGGGTAGCTAGCTCGTATAGGGGAGCACTGCTGATGAAACCAAACCGGGTCGAAACAACTGTCCAGTGCTTTTCAGCTCACACCTAATTTACACGATGAATTAATCATATAAAAAACCTTATTTGAAGCCTCCCGAGAATAGGCGTACAGACTGGTTGCAGAACGTCCTAGTCGCCGTGGTCACCGCTTCTTTTAAGCAGTCCAAAGCATTAGGTATCCTGGGCACGTGAACGACACCCGAAAGAATGTATAGACCCACGTATTAGACACCGGCCTCCAATGAACGGCGGATTTTACACATCATTGTCTTGCTGGTCAGGCTTTTGTTAACCCAAAGATCCCATTGAATTTGACCTACTTTGGTCTGTGCTACATGGCAGTATTGCGCCCATGAATGTATAACAAAATGATTTCTTTATCACAAAGATTTTTTAGTGAATTGCTTGACTACGAACTCAGAAAACTACGATATACATAGATATTAATACAGTACACTTAAGATAAGATGACTGAAACCATTCAATGTATCCGTAGGGTCGTTCTGTCTCTCTGTGGGAAGGTCCCGAGACCTGCACTCAAAGCCGTAAATGCAGTGAACATATGTGATTTCAGTAGGCCTTTCGGTCCTTCATCGAAGCATTGGTTGCTTTGATAAATGACATTGTTTCTGCTCTC